TGCCAGGAGGAACCGACCCAGTGAAGCCAGGAGGGCGGCGCAACCAGATCTCCTCGTGCAGGCTGCCCTGCAAGAAAGCAGTGCTGAAGTCAAGTGAGTGAAGCTCGTAGTCGCGGTGAGCGGCTATGTGCAGCAGCACCCGAAGAGTGGTCATCTTCGGGGTGGGGGAGAAGGTCTGGAAGAAGTCGACTCCCTCTCGCTGACTGAAGCCTCGAGCCACGTAGCGTGCCTTGAAGACAGGAGGAGAACCCGGCGGCCGCTTCACCCTGAAAATCCACATGCCACTGACGATGTTCGCCCCAGGTGGGGGAACCTCGTCGACGTAGGTGCGTGTGGACTTCCAGGAAGCCATCTCTGCGTCCATGGCTGTCTGCCACTGAGAGGAGTAGGGACCCGCCATCGCCTCAGCGTAAGAGCGCGGGGTCGGGATGTCTGGTGCATCCGGGTCTCCCTCAGGGGCAACAAGCATGGACACGAGATGGGGCAAAGCAGCAGCAGTGGCGACAGAGGGGAGAAGGGGGGAAGGGGAACACCCCTCGAAGAAGGGGGTGCGGGGCTCGCCACGAGAGGCACCTACGGCGACGATGCTCGCCTCAGCTGCAAGTAGGTCCTTCTCGAGGAGGGCAATGGTGAGCTCAGTAGGGGAGCGAGCTAGAAAGGAGTCCCTGACTGTGCGCAGAGAGTCAGGGAGGCGGGTGACAATGTGGTAGAGGGTGAGCCAGAGCGGGGGGGGGTTGCTAGCAAGGAACTCCGCAGGCGTAGCAGCGCGAAAACGGGCCTCACTAGTCTTGAGGTGGGTGATGAGATCAGCGACAGTGTGAAAGGAGGCCAGGTCGGGGAACAGGTAGGGCAGGGAGAGGCGGCCTAGGGTGGCAGACGCAGGCGAGGAGTAGCGAGCAACTACGGCTGTGTACAGTTCCTTAGCAGTCTTGCACTGGCCGAAGTGCTCGCGCTCATCTAGCGGCAGGGAGTTGCGGATAGCAAAGCGAGCGTGTGCGTCGCGGGTCTGCCACTGGGAGCGCAGTGTGCTAGCAGCAGAGGAGTCAGGGGCAGTAGCATGGCCTAGGGCGTGGTCGTACAGTGAAATGTCTTCCTTGGCAGTGAGCTGTAGGAAAAGGTGCAGATCATCGAGCCAGGTGTCAAATTTCACTGGGCGGCCCTCAGCGTCGAAGGCTAGAACAGGAGCAGTAGCCATGGTAGCAGGAGGAGGAAAAGTAAGTAATAAACGTGGCAGTGACAGTAGCAGCAGGGCAAGGCAGGGCCGGCGGCGGCCGATGGAGTAGACTCGGCGGTTGCGGCTGCTGCAGGATCGGCGGCGGCTGCTGCTGCTGGGTCGGCGGCGGCTGCTGCTGCAGAGGCAGCGGCGGCTGATTCTGCTGTAGCTGCGGCGGCCGCTGCTGTAGATTGCGGCGGCTGCTGCTGCCGTAGATGCGGCGGCGGCCGCTGCTGTAGATGATGCGGCAGCTGCTGCTGCTGTAGATGCAGCGGCGGCTGCTGCAGAAGATGCGGCGGCTGCTGCTGCTGTAGATGCAGCGGCGGCTGCTGCAGAAGATGCGGCGGCTGCTGCTGCTGTAGATGCAGCGGCGGCTGCTGCAGAAGATGCGGCGGCTGCTGCTGCTGTAGCTGCAGCGGCGGCTGCTGCAGTAGATGCGGCGGCTGCAGCTGCTGTAGATGCAGCGGCGGCCGCGGCAGGAGAGGCGGCGGCGGCTGCTGCAGCAGTTGCGACGGCCGCGACTGCAGCTGTTGCTGCAGGCCCGACCGCGGCGACGAAGGCGCGGGGGGGTCGAGCGCAGCACGGAGCAGCGCGACGGGCCGCGCGCGAAGAAAAAGAACCGCGCGCGCTGGCGGCTAGCTAGGCGCGCGCGAAAAATGGCCGCGCGCGGGCTGCTGGCTGGTCGCGCGCACGAAATAGGCCGCGCGCGGGCGGCTAGCAGATCGCGCGCGGTAAAAAAAAAGATAGCGCACTAGGGGCGCAATAGGAGGCGCACTAGGGGCGCAATAGGAGGCGCACTAGGGGCGCTTGATAGGTATGTAGGTAGGTAGGTAGGTAGGTGGGCCCTTAAAAAAAAACGGTCCTAGGGAAGGACCTGCTCTGAAACCATGTCAAAATTACGAGACTGGAATGATGTGACTAACAGGAACAGCAGTACAAATATGAAACCCTAAGTTGGTGTACCCCCTAAGGTATCACCCACTACAGCCTACAATAATAATAAACATATTATGTTTGACAGCCTTGTCTAAGGGTACATTTCCGGATTGACACAAGTGTCTCAATGCCAAATTTCCCGAGTCAAGTCGATATGTTTAGTCAACTTCGCGTCTCCATGCGTATTGCAACATTGTGCGACTAGGCGACACGTACAGTTGGGAGCGTTCGATTGGGTTACTCAAACGGCAGTACACCTGATTATTTAACAAACAGGCATGGACACACAACAAATGCGAACATCTTCGCGTAGAAAGATTTGTGGGTGGTGAGGTAGGAGGGGGTGAAGTTTTGGCAGGAAGATTTTGTGCGTGGCAGTGATGACGTGCAGGGTCGCTTCGCTTTCAAGTCATTTTTGGGCTGCCCGAGGCCTTGATGTTCTTTTTCCCGCGTAAAATAGGCATTGTGTGGGGTGTCTAGTGTCAAGAATTGTATTTCTTTATGTAACTGCATACAATATAGCTGTCAGAATCCCAGTCACTAACCACTGGGATAAAAGGGCTTGTTTGTGTAGCGGGTGAGTGCGCCCATAACCCCCCAGGCCGACGTGCCTGTAACCCTTCCCTAGGATCAATCGGGGATCTCCAGTGGACCTCTGACAATAGCTAGTGTAGTATAGATGTAGAGTTCCTTCTATTCGTGGTGTACCTCCCTTGGCCACCTTTCCTTGCTATATCTTGTACTTGTGCTTTAGTGAAATCCCATCTTCCTCTCGTCACTCTTGTTTCCACCCTATACCGTACGGCCCCAAATATAAGCGCAGGACTATTAAAAGCGCATGCGCTTGTATCTGGAGCAATGCGCTTATGGCCGATCCTCAATTATAAGCGCACCCCTTGAAAAAAACATGATTTATTATAACCGCATGTTAATTTAATATTGAAAATGTATCAAAATGTTGTAACGATCTTCACTTTAGCAGGTGGCTGCTTTGCAAATTCGGTTCCCCTCACATTTGAACGCTGCACAGGCTTCAAATACAGTCAGCATGAGTTGTCAGCGGTGCCTTGTGAGTCACATGTACTGTATCTTCCAGCGCAAGCGAGAATTTCACTCATGACCCCATGTAGCTTCGACTCGATTGAAAGGCATTTGGTGTTATAAAAATCATAAATTTATATTTGTCGGTTTATAAGCACATGCGCTTATAGTTTTTACTCAATTCGAAGCGCACCCCTTGGAAAAAACGTGTTTTATTATAAGCGCAGGTGCGCTTATATTCGGGGTGATACAGTACTATTAAGCCTAAGTTAACTCAAGTATATAACATCCACGTGCATGTGATCGGGTCGATGATTTCGAATCGCGTGCGAATTGTTGACACTGACGGGTCTGTCAGAATCCCAGCCACTAGACCACTGTGATAAAAGGGCTTGTCCGTGTAACGGGTCCGTGTGCCCATACCGTAAGCCTCGGATAAGCGACATGCGCTCCTAAGTGGCATATGGAACTTATATCCAGTCCTCGATTATAAGCGCACCACTAATGGCTTACAGATTATAAGCGCCACCATCTATTTTTTTATATATATATATTTTTACGAAACACACATATTGCATCCCGACATTTAGAATTTCAATGCCCTTCACTTTCGCGCGACTCACTTTGTGCGCATCTAGTCAGAACAACCTGTCATGGGGAAAACATAACTCATTCTGACTGTGTGTGTTGGTAGGGAATCATTCCCTGCCAACTTACGCGAGATTCTCATTCACAGCTCTCGCTAATTTTGACTTGATTCAAATCTCAAGAACGAGATGAAGACGTTGATGTAAAAAAACTAGATTTCATATATGTCATTATATTAGCCTCGGCACTTATAAAATTCCTCGATTATAAGCGCACCCCCCTGAAAAAAACGTGTTTTATTATACCCCCAGGGGCGGGCATATCCGGTCCTGACGGTAACCCCCCATACGAACACGCCTGTAACCCTCATAGGATCAGTCGGGGATCTTAGAATGCAGATCTACTGACACCCCCTGACACTGGGAGGTCCAGGTCAAAGCACAACGACAGCCGCATGTATATGCATACACCGGGATTCGAACCCGAGACCGCTCTGATACCATGTCAGAATCCCAGCCACTAACCACTGGGATAAAATGACTTGTTTGTGTAGCGGGTCCGTGGGTCCATAGCCCCCCAGGCGAACACACATGTAACCACCCTAGGATCAATGGGGTATCTCAGAGTGGAGATCTACTGACATGGTTAACTTGCAACTCTTCCGCGACATAATCGTGTTCCACGCGCGTTTGTGACACAATACAATTTATGCTGTTTTTTGTGCGTCACAAAGTCATTGGGACATTTGTGTCGATCCAAGAATGTACCGCCGTAAGGTATACAATACATGTAGCCATTACGCGTTCGACTCCAACGCTCGGATCAACAGGCTCAGTCCGATGATCCCGCCTCTCGACCGTGACTCTCGTCGCGTTCGGCTTTGGCAATCCCAGACCAGCACCCGACCTCATCTTCCGAGGGACTCGTCTAGCTACGTCCCTGGCTATATGAGGTTAGGCTTCATTGTTTGATAAGTAGTTGTATTGTTATCACCATAAATTGTTCTGAGACACTGGAACTGTTTTAGCGGAGTCCGCACCCCCCCACAAACCAGTCCCCTCCACAACTGCGGCTCCAGAATCCAGATCTGTTCAAACGTAGTTACCGCGACCGGCCAGCAACTGCTACCTCAGCCTCGCCATTTCAGCGGCTCCCCAGCTCGCCACCGTACGCGGCTCGTGTGGACGAGCTACTTTTTGGCGCTCGCGCGGGGGTAGCCACCATGAGCAGAGGGCGTGCGTATCTCGTCGTTCTGCTTTTGTTACTATTCGCGGTAGTCTCGCAGCCCTTCGCGACAAGTACAACGTGGATGGTTACCCGACCATCCTTTTCGCCACGGATGGCGATTTCCAGCCGTTCGGCGTCGGACGAACCAGGTAAACGCTCGGAAACGAATCGATTTCGCACCTCCCGTGTGCTGCGCGCGTGTGTGATGAGATGAGGAAAGGTCAGTCTCTTAAGCTCTTATAGGCGCTTCAATCGATACCTCCCTCGCTCGATCAAATCCATATCAGCTCTTCCCCCAGTCTGACTTTCAACTGACACGGTTCCTGCAAAAATCTCCCCTTCCACTCCCCTGGTTCTCGCTTGCCTCGCTGCTCCTGCTGCTGCTGCTGCTGCAGCGCAGGGATGGTGAGGTGGGTGAAGCGTCCTGCGCACGTCCTGTAAAGCTCGCCTTAACTCTCTCTCGCTCCGCTCGCTCCCCTCGCTCCCCTCGTTCCTCTCGTTCCCCTCGTTCCCCCCGTTCCCCTCGCTCCCCTCGTTCCTCTCGTTCCCCTCGTTCCCCTCGTTTCCCCCGTTCCTGTCGCTCCCCTCGTTGCTGCCCGCTGCTGCAGCGCGGAGATAGTGCGGTGGGTGAAGCGCAAGCTGGGCCTGGGTGTGACGGCGCTGGCGCCAGCCGACATTCCCAAGGTGGTGTCGCTGCTCGAGAGCGCTGCCGCCGCCACTGCCATCGCTTTCGTGGCCACTCTTGACGTGAGTGCCGTGTGGTGCATGTGCCGTGTGGTGCATGTGCTGTGTGGTGCATGTGCTGTGTGGTGCATGTGCTGTGTGGTGCATGTGCTGTGTGGTGCATGTGCTGTGTGGTGCATGAGCTGTGTGGTGCATGCGCTGTGCGGTGCATGCGCTGTGCGGTGCATGACTGGTCCCCCCTCCTCCCCCCCCTCTCCTGCCCCACAAGCTCGTCTTCCCCTCTTGCCCCTCGGCCCCCCCACCCCCCTCCCCCTCCCACCCCTTCCCCTCTGCCCCGCCATCACAGCAAGCAGCGTCTGGAGTTTCGCCACAAGCTGTTCGCCCTGAGGGAGGACCGAGTCATGCCGCCCGCCACCTTCGCCCACCTCGTCAGCTCCATCCTCTACGAGTGCAGGTTAGCTCCATCCTCTACGAGCGCAGGTTTGACCCGACCAGTTTCATCCTCTTTATAAGGACACACTAACCTACACGTATAACTAACAGATGTTCATAAGTAAGCTGCCACGTATGGACGCCTTCGCCCACCCCGTCAGCTCCATCCTCTACGAGCGCAGGTGCTGCCAGTGTTGTTATTGCCTCCTCGTTAGTGTGTGCGTATTTGTTGTTTGAAGCATCTGTACATCTGGATAGTTGTGCGACAGCTCTGCGCATTCACCTCGTTGTCACTTGTTAGGAGTCTCAAAAGCAATTGGCTCAGGTTAGAAGCATCATTCATGTTAGTCAGCATTGGAGCAATTGGCTCAGGTTAGAAGCATCATTCAGGTAGAGTCATGCCGACTGCCAGCTACAGTCGAGTGTGAGGCAGCGACGAATCCCTTGAATGAATAGGTCATGAGTGGTGAACTCTCTCCCATACTTGCCTCTCCCTAACATTTCTTTTTCCCATTCTTGTCCCCTATTCGTTTTGTTTGCTTCCCTCACCCACACCTGACCATCAGGTTCGGACTGTACTTCATCGAGCCTGTGATTGCAGGCTTGGAGGACGATGACACTCCCTTCATCTGCGCCACTGACCTTATCGGCGCATAGTGAGTGCCGCTGCTGTCTGTCTGTCACTCCTTTCGGCACCTTTCCTGTTGCTTCTGCGCCCCCTTGCACGCCTTTCATCTGTGTCAGTGTCCTTACCGGTGCATACTGAGTGCCGCTGCTGCCTGTCTCTCCTTTTCATGCGTTTCCAGCTTCTTCTGTCCCCGTTTCCATCTCCCTTTCATCTGCGCCACTGACCTTAACGACACACAGTGAGTGCTGCTGCCCTCTATCATTTCGGCACCTTCCCGTCTTCACTCTCCCCTTTCACTACCTTCCCTGCTGCATCCCCCCTCCTCTTCCACAATCCGACTTTCGTGCAATTAACCTCATCGAGGCCCTGACTTTGGAGTGGCGGGGACGGCAGACGAGTCGCTATTTTGCGTGTGCGAGTCCTACTGGCAGCCGGGGCTGGAAAAGACCCACTCACACCGACTCTGACCAATCACAAGTCATCCTTCTCCCCCCTTCCCACCTTACAGCTTTCACCAAGCCCTGTCCCCCCTCCCCTCCCCTCCCCCCCCCCCCCCCCCCCCCCCCCCCCACCTCCCTTCCTGCCGCCCTCCCATCCCTCCACCCCACAGCGAGGAGTGTCCGGAATTTGGCATTGCAGGGTCAGCGGATGAGTCTCTTTTTGGGGCGTGCGAGTCGCGCTGGCAGCCGGGCTGGAAGGTCCTGTCAGACCACTCTGACTTATGAGTCACCTAACCCATTTTTCCCCTGCACCCTCCCTGCCCACCCGTTCTTCGTCCCATAACGAGGAGTGCCCTGAGTTTGGAGTGGCGGCGACGGCGGATGAGTCATTGTTCGGCGCGTGCGAGTCCTACTGGAAGGTCCTGTCAGACCGACTCAGACCCACTCACAAGTCACCTTCTCCCCCGTTCCCACCATCTGGCCTTCACAATGCCTCCCTCCCCTCCCCCCTCCCCCCCCCCCCTCCTCGTCCTTTCCGCCCTCCCATCCCTCCACCCCACAGCGAGGAGTGTCCCGATTTTGGAGTGGCGGGCACGGCAGACGAGTTGTTGGCCGGCACGTGCGAGTCGTACTGGCAGCCGGCTGGGGCTACAAGGTCCTGTTCTGTCAGACCCACTCACGCCGACTTGCAAGTCAACTACTCCCCCCTTACCACCTCGCAAACCCTTCCCTCCTACCCCCCTTTTCCATCCCTCCACTCCCTACCTTATAGAGAGGAGTGCCCCGAGTTTGGAGTGGCGGGGACAGCAGACGAGTTGTTGTCCGACGCATGCGAGTCGTACTGGCAGCCGGAGCTGCAGCCGGAGGAGCTGCTTGAAACCGTCAAGATTTCCCCCCTTTCCACTACTCCCAATTCCCCCTCTCCCCCCACCGCCCCCACCGCCCCCACCGCCCCCACCACCCCGACCCTCTCCCACTTTCCCCCTCCACTATCCACCCCGCAGTGAGGAATGTCCGCAATTTGGCGTTGCAGGGACGGCAAACGAGTCGCTGTTCGGGGCGTGCGAGTCGTACTGGCAGCCGGGGCTGCAGCCAGAGGAGCTGTTTGAAACCATCTCCCAGGCGCTGCTGGCCGCTGTGGACAGGGACGCGCTCAGTGGATGGGGGGCTACTGTTCATGTCATGTGAGTGCATGGGATGGGAGGGAGTTGGCGGGTCATGTGAGTGCATGCATGTCATGTGAGTGCATGCATGTCATGTGAGTGCAGGCATGTCATGTGAGTGCAGGCATGTCATGTGAGTGCATGCATGTCATGTGAGTGCAGGCATGTCATGTGAGTGCATGGGGTGATGTGAGTGGGTGGGATGGCAGGGCAATTGGCGTGTCATGTGAGGGATGCAGCCCAAGGAGCTGTTCGAAACCATTTCGCAGGCGCTGCTGGCGGCTGTGAACAAGGACGCTCTTAGCGGATAGGGGGCTACTGTTCATGTCATGTGAGTGCATGGGTGGATGTGATGTGAGTGGATGGGATGGGAGGCAATGGGCGTGTCATGGGAGGGCTGCAGCCGGAGGAGCTGTTTGAAACCATCCCCCAGGCGCTGCTGGCTGCTGTGTACAGGGACGTGCTCAGTGGATGGAGGGCCACTGTGCATGTCATGTGAGTGGATGGGGGTCATGTGAGTGGATGGGGGTCATGTGAGTGGATGGGGGTCATGTGAGTGCATGGGGGTCATGTGAGTGGATGGGGGTCATGTGAGTGCATGGGGGTCATGTGAGTGCATGGGGGTCATGTCAGGGTATGTGTGTCATGCGAGTGGATGGGGTTATGTGAGTGGGTGGGTGGGTTTTATATGAGTGAACAGGTGTCATGTGGGTGGATGGGTGTCATGTGGGTGGCTGGGTGTCATGTGGGTGGATGGGTGTCATGTGGGTGGATGGGTGTCATGTGGGTGGATGGGTGTTATGTGGGTGCATGCATGCCATGACTGGGTGCATGAATTCAATGCATGCATGCCATGTTTGTAGATAGGAGGCACTTGGCATGTCATGTGAGGTCCACAGTGCAAGGCACGGTGTGTTTCTGTTCTGCTTTGATAGCACAATGATTGCCTGAACATCCCCTTTGGTCTTCATATTTCTCATCTCACCCCTCTGATCGGTTTCCTTCCTTTCCTTGCAGTACTCTTGACAAAATTATTACTCGCACACTGAAAGGCCGGATGGATTGATGGCTCGAGATGGGGAGATGGAACACTTCTGTGTTTTTAGTACCTCGTGTTCACTGAAGTATAATGTCGTGTCATTGCTTGTGCAAACCCTAGCGAATATTGGGACATCTTCGTTGCAAAAGAAAATCCATAGCTTCTCACAAAGATCGTCCTGCATTAAACAAGAAACATTCAACGATTTATCAAATATGCTAACCTAATTTGCGCATGTTCTGTTCTCACCAACCATGGCTGTTCTGTGCATTTCCGCCCCTCCGTCAACGGAGTCAACATCGCATCTGCGCCAAATGAGCAAACGGTGTCGCTTTTCTCGCTCGGCCCGCTTTCTTCGTTGTGTGTCTTGATGTCACCCGAGCCTCGTTGGCTTGCTTGTCGCGAACATTGGTGGTAGTGCCTGGTTACAAAGTCGCAACACGTCGGCTCGTTTCGCGTTGAATTCGCAACACGTTGAATTGACGAAATCAAGGAATTCCCTCGCCAGCAAGAAGGTGTTTTGCTGGAGGGAAGGTGTTAGAGGGCCCTACGACAGCAAGGGCCCTCGACGATGTGCATTGACTTGGCAGGTCGATGAACGACCAAGACTATACGCGGCCCTGCACCGACCCTATGACGTCGAATGACAATGACGGCGCTAATGAAGTCACTGCTGGGGTGGTGCTAGCTTAGGGAGTCGTGGGCGTGCTTCTTGGGTGGTCTTGGTAGTTGTGGGTGATTCTCTGTGAGTCTCGCCATTTCTGGTGTGCTGGGAGAATTGGCGAGCCCGGCATTGACTTCCCTGCTGAGTTGGGTTGGGAAGTTGACAAGGCGCGTTCGCTCACTCACACACCACTTTCGTGGGGTTGGGTTACTGCGCAGCGCCACGGCAACTTTGTGAAACCTCCCCGTAGCCTATATCTATCTTGTGTGTTTGCTTGTATGAACTTCATAGTTGATATTACAATTCTACTTGGTTTCTCACTTAGTCAGTTGAGACCAACGCTACCCAAGTGCTACCGAATTACTGACGCAACATCGTTCCCATAGCCGAAACTCTCTCGTCGTCGTATCGCTCTCCATAGTATTCCTTCATGGTGCGGTGAGCGTGGAACGAACACGCATAGATTTCCGTCGTCGATTATAGTGACGTTCGTATACTCGCCTTGGCGTGCGGCGTTAGTGAAGGGCGCTTATTAATTTAAGTTGAACCTTTCTTAATTTCCCTCCAGTTACGTTCTCGGACCCAAGGATAGGGCGTTTGGTAATTTATTACCACTCGTCTGAGGACCCTTGTGAGGTGACCCCGAGACGAGGGATTTAAGGAAGGGACAATTTATTTTAATTTGTGGTACCTTATAGAGGCGTCGTAAAGGATGAGTACGGAGGAGGCGAACGTGGAGGCCGATAATTTCCGCGCATTAGAGGAGGACCTCGTGGCTCGTCGCTCTCGTGGTGAGCTTAGTAGTGAAGATTACGAGCTCATGTTGGAGGGAATACGCGCTCGTCAGCGTCGCGATCGTCCCTCGCCACGTGTAGAGCAAGCCGCGGGAGGAACTAGTGCGTGGGATATGGCTGTTGATGGCGGAGATGGCGATGACGAGGAGTTTGATGGGTTGGTGTCGCGTGGGGTCCTGCGAGGAACGACTCGGTTTAGTACGGCTAGCGTCGGTGGTATACAGGAGCGTGTTCATCGCGCAGCGGCGTCACACGAGCGTGCAATCGTAGGACGACGGAGCGTTGCTGGAGGAGGGAATGCGGAGGAGTACGATAGTGGAGCTATGCCAGGCATTACCCCGATTGGATCGATGTCGAGGGACGAGGGAATAGCCCCCAACTATGGCTTCTTCAAATTCACTCCAGACAAAATCGTCGTGCCTAGGCCACTCGAAGGACGCCACGACCTGTCGACATGGGTAGAATCGATCGAGCCGCAGCTTGAGATCGCTCAGCTAAAGCGTTTCATCGACGGTACCACTCCTATTCCCCCAGCACACGCAGTGGTGCTTCTCACACAGTTTCGCGCCATGCAGTTACTAACGTTCACCACGATTTCCCGATGCTGCTCCCCAACCGTACAGATCGCCCTTAAGGCGTGTCGCATGAAGGTAGATGCCGGCTTCCAAGCGTGGCAGTTTATCATGCGCACGTATCAAGCGAAAGACGACCTGTATATAGGTCAGTTAGAGCAGGCGCTCACTAACCTCGAGATGGGAGAGCACGAGTCCGCCACATCCTATTGCAACCGTGCACAGCAGATCCTAGTGAACTTGAGGATGGCCGGCGTAGATTATTCGCAGGCGTCGTACATTACTCATGTCGTGAAGGGGTTGCCACAACAGTACAACCTCTTACGCAGGATGCTGAAGCTGCCGCAGGTGCGCAAGGAGTTGGACGAGGATACCCTCGCTAGCTACATCATCGAGGAGGAGTGTACGCTAGCGGCGGAGGGACGGAAGGACCAATTTCTTCCCCAGGCTAACCAAGTCTTTATCAAGAAGGGTAAGCAGACTTCATCCCCTTCCCCTCCCACTACGGCACAGCAGCAGCAGCCTAAGAATGGGGGTGGGGTTGGTGGCGGAGGGGAGAAGTGGAAAGGGGCTAAGGATGGTCAGCCGAAGGGGGGGAAAGGGGGCTTCAAGGGGAAATGCTATGTGTGTGGACAGATAGGGCATGTGGCTAAGTACTGTCAGCAGCGGGCGGATAAGGAGGCAGACACTGGTGGAGAGGGTTCTGGAGGTAGCAGCGGCAAGGGGGGCGATGGCTCTAAGGGGAGCGGGCAGTCATCATGTGCGATGGTGAAGCCCGTTGTAGAGCAGACTCCTCTCGTTGTGCTGGAGCCTGAGGCCGGGGAGGGCTTACAGGCTGTTGCAGCTGCTGTGAAGGCAAACCCGAGCGTCGTGCTACTTGATAGCGGATGCTCCCACCATCTCATGGGAGATCGTTCTGCCTTTGTGGAGATGAGCAGCGGCGGTAGTATCAAACAGGTGAAAGGCTTCAACGGCGCTCTTCAGGATGTGCAGGGGCGAGGCACAGTCGCTCTCATTGGAGAGGGGGGCAGGCGTGTCTTGGTGCCAGACGTGCTGTACGTACCTGGAGTGCAGGCGAGTCTTCTTTCTGCTGGGCAGCTGCGTGATAGTGGCGTGCAGCTGCTGGATGCAGGCGACGTGACTCTGCTGCGGGCACCAGATGGGTCGCTTCTTGGGCGTGCAGAGTTCAGGGGGCGTGTTCTCTGCACGAACTTCCAGCCGTGTTCGACGCAGCAGCAGGAAGGAGAAACGGTGGCCCTTCGTACCTTGACGACGGGCGTGCGGTCTAAGGTGGACATGTGGCATGCACGTATGGCACACGTTGGCGTTGATGCCATCGAGCGCACTGCGTCTCACGGGTCAGTGAAGGGCTTGGACCTGGAGAAGGGGGGCAAGTCAGGCATACCTTGTGTCTCCTGTGTTGGGGGGAAGATCACTCGTCATACCTTCCCGTCAGTGGGTGCGGAGGAGGATGAGTTGCTTGGAGTGGTGCATGCTGACCTGTGTGGCCCTTTCCGTGAAACAGCTAAGGACGGCAGCCGCTACTTCCTGGTGCTGAAGGATCGCAAGTCGCGGTACGTCTGGGCCTACCCTTTGGCTCAGAAGAGTGATGCGCTGGCGGCGTTCCAGAAGTGGCTCCCGATGGCAGAGCGGCAGTGTAAGACCACGGTGCAGGCGCTGCGCACTGATCGGGGTGGCGAGTTCCTTGGGCATGACTTCACGCTCTTCCTCGACGGCAAAGGCATCATCCATGACCTGACGTGCCCGTACACGCCGGAGCAGAACGGGATGGCCGAGCGGGAGATGCGCAGCATTGTGGAGGCGGTGCGAACGATGCTGCTGCACATGGGGGTGCAGCACCACTGGTGGCACCTGGCGTTGGCGCAGGCCGTCTGGGTGCGCAACCGCGTGGAGCACGCCTCGCTGCCCTCTGGTGTGACGCCGTACGAGCTCGCC